ACCTCTGAACTGAAGGGCTCCAACACCATTCTGTTGGGGGAAAACCACCATTCTGCCAAAATCCCAATCCACCACGAGCATTGCTGGAGAAGTCCTACGAGTTTCAGCCCTTCCACACAAAAGCTGAACTTTGCTTACTCAGCAAATCCTGCCAGGGCAGAGGTGTTAAATAACTACCTTAAACCGCGGTGTCGCAATACTCCCGGTCCTTGCTCAATTGCCACCTGGCCTTAGAGACTCCTGGAGCCTGCTCATGCCTTTCTTGACACCTTTAGCCTGCCCCAGAACTTGAATGCCATGAGAAGGTGTCCTGCAGTGCTCTTGAGAGGCCCACTTCCAAGCTATGTTTTGTTAAGGGTAATTAGAAGGGATGAGAGAGATAACTGGGAATGCCACAGCCGGAGCTGAGTGACCACTAGTCAGCATTGCAGCCTTTCGACAGAAAACACATTGTTTTCTGCTATGTGGACAAACAGGTTGGACTAATTACATATAATCATTATTATTTATGCTCTACAGACATCAGAGTTTTGTCTTTAAATGAATTTATGGAGGGAAAAAAATCACAAAGCTGAATAATCCCTTTAATTATATGCTTAAAAATCCTGAATGGAAGAAATTAGGAGGCACAAAGGAACAAACATAAACTAATTATTCCTTGCTTTGCAACTAACATATTTCTATGGTAACCACTATGGTCTTCGAAGAAATTCAATGATCTTTCTAAATCAGATCATCAGCAAAGTCACCCAGTAAAGCCACAAACCCAAAATCTTTCAAATAAGCCTAGAGATGAAGGAGGAAATTCCTGCTTTTCCCAGCTGTTCATCGTTATAGCCATGAAACTGCATCTTCATCAAAACCACGAAGGAGATTCTCTCTTATGTGCTGTGTGGGGAGTCAGTGGGTATTGGAATCACAAACTGGTTTGGGTTGGAAGAGACCTTAAAGCTCAGCCAGTTCCAGCCCCCTGCCACAGGCACATAGGTAATGTGTGTATATAGAAGAGCAGAGAGGACTTTGACCAGTTCTGTATCCTGCGTGGCGATATGGGAAGGTGAACAGAAGAGAACATATGGTCTTCATAGTTGCATTTTCTGCTTGCACACTTACTTTTGAGTTTGAAGGCTTCTTGCACAGCCTCAGTTTTCTTGTGCATCTTCAAGTAGATTGTCAAGTATTGATTTAAATGTGGGGTGTCCCAGCTCTGTTCCTCCAGTACATGGAGAAGCATACAAGGTAGGCAAAGTTTTGGTAGGTCAACACATGGAAAGTGAAGCAGTATTTGGCAAAGACCAAGTTTACACATTTTTGTACATGAAATGTAGTGAATCAATCAAACTCATTCACTTCAAACCCAAACCAGCCTGTCACCACCTTCCCATCATCAAACACCAGCTCAGAGGGTGCATTCTCAGGGCAGTAATTCAAGCAGAGCGGGCCCTGGAGCTGGCAGATCCTGGCTCTATGGGAGGTTCACCTCTCCAGGCTGTTTGTCAGCCAAAAACACCTCACTCTTCTTTTGACCACACCTCCAAAACCAATGGCTTCCCCTATCGCATCTGTGGCCATGCTGGCAGCTACAGATAAAGCAGTTAACTGAACAGACTCCAGTGAAGGGATTCAGTTAAGAGGAAAGTCCCTGCAGCTGAAGCTGAGCAGCAGCGTTCAAGCTTTTTCACAGAAGTCAGAATGTTTTCCCTTCCTTCGGTCTCCACTTGGCTCTTTGACCATCACACTTTCAGATGTCTGCCTTCCTTCACTGCTGTGAGCAAAACAGGAACTTTGCTGCACAAAACTAAGTAGGATGCTCTATATGATCTGTCTCTATGCTGGGATGAGTTTCCGTCCCAAAGACAAATACCAAGTAACTTCAGTGTCAGCAGGGACTAAGAGGCTGCACAGGTCCCTGTTGGCTGGCTTTCTACATAAGAGCCATCATAGGCTTTACCCCTGCTCTTGGATGGTTTTTGCCACAGCTTTGTAAGGACATAAGGATATGTCACACATCCCAGGCACAGGCCAGCAAGAGATTCATTCCTGCCTTTGGTTAACATAATATTCTTAATAGCAGCAATAACAGCTCCTATTAAGACATCCTGCTGGCTTCGGAGAACAGGTTCCTGTTTTCCTCAGGTTCTTATTTTAGAAGCTTCTGGGGACTATGTAAACATGTGAGCTAGAAACAAAGGAACCATAGAGATCATTTACTGAGAGCTTGGGTGAGTGATCAGAACAGGGAATATGATGGGTCTGGCTGGGCTGCTGCTAGAAAGAGGAGCTTTCCCATCAACTTCACTGGGAGACAGCAAGCTTGGCACAAATAGAGATGTACCAAGAGCAACCAGCACTGAGCAAACACTATCCGGGCTGGGGAAAGGATGTGTATGCAACCTCACCACACTACGAGAAATTCACCTCCATTCAGTGCAAGACACCTCAGCTCAGTGCTGTGCCTTGTGGCCCCATTCTACATCTGCTCTGCCAAGTCTTTGTGCTCTTCACTATGTTTAGTAAAAACCATAGTGGTTGAATGCTCATTTTGTGTTTGTAGTAACAGTTTACCTCAAAAGATAAAGCAGCTTTTTACACACTGAAGTGTCTCTCTATAGTCAAGCTTGCTCACATCCCATCTTCCTTTTTCATTAATCCAGCAAAAATATCAAAAGCTCCATAATAAATGGCACCACACTTGTAACAGACAAAAGAGCTGAAAAATCTTCATGAGAGTTTTTTTGGCTCTTGATCCTCCAAAGCACTTAAGCAGGAGCTTAATTTACTGCGGGTAAGTAGATGTGGCTCCAGTGGGACTACATAGCTGATTAAAGAATAAATGTAATTGTCTCTATAGATCAATGCCTTAATTTATTCCTCCTGGAGTATCAGATAGATCCTTATAGCCTCTTTGATAAACTTGTGCAGTGCAACACACTAAGTCATTCAAACTATGAAACCACACACATGCTAATGGAAATCTATACCTAGCTAGGTATTAACATCGCTGTTCAAGTATTTAATTTCTATTGCATTTTCTAGTTAAATAAAGTAGGGTTTTTTTTCAGAACTTTAAAAAGCAACCCCACACCTCTTCCAACACCTTGACATATTCCAGAGCAAAAAAAGAACCCAAACCCACAAAACCAGATATTTATCAGGGCAGATCCCTTCAACAAGGGCAAGTTTAAGACCCTGGAAACTAACTTCAGGTATTTAAAAGAATGAAAGGATGTTGAAGGCCAGCTACAGAGCATGAAATCAGATATCGGAGCTGCTTCTATTGACAGCTGGTGCTTTGGATACACGTTTGTCTGCTCTTCAGGGACCCTTATTCTATAGCCACTGAAAGTGCCTCCATCAGAGGTATGATTTAATGGCCTTCGCAGCAACCAGTGACCCTACAGGAAGAATAAATGAGTGTGCGTTGTTCGCTGAAGGCGAAGGCATGTTTTGCACACATGATGTCACTCTTGCAGCTCAGGAAGAACTAATTGCTCAGCTTGTTGTAAAGTCTCATACTCCTTGGGTTTACTTGCAAATTATAGTCGTCTGGAAAGCTGCAGTATGTCATCAGCACACAGCAATGCTGTCTGAAGCGTAATTAATATCTGTCTTTCTTTTCAAGTTCCTTATTTACCCTCTTTCCCCCATGACAAATATGTTAATGCCCTCTCCAAAACCCACAAGTTGTCATTTTCAAAGAGCCCCCGTCTTTCTGCCTTGAGCTCAACACTTGAGACTAAATCATGGGGAGCCTGTTCTTGCCCCCATTAAAGCTATTGAGGGTTTTGTCAGTGACTTCAGTGTAAGCAAACTCTCACAGGCTGTAATGGGAGCAGGACCACAGACCTATTTTGCTTTGCACCTTCAGCCAGAGGAGAAAATAAGGCAGCACCACACCAAACAAACAACAGGCAGGGATTGCCTCGGAGTTCTGAAGGATTTTGAGTTGAATCAGGTGCCCAGAGCAACATGACCATCATCAAACCATCCGGTCTTATGGGTTGCAATGGATTACAGGGTCCTAAAAGGCTTTAGTTTTGATTTTGAGAATTGATTTTATATCGTGGGGGTTATTTCCAGCAATATTATCTGCTTACCTGATTCTCTTTTAAGTGCTTATCTGCAAAGGGTAAAATACCGCCCAGAGCTTAATATAGTAGCATGTGAAAATAAACATACAGAAGATGTGTATCAGTGACAGCAATAACTGTACTGGTAGCCCAGACCATTACTGAGAATGTTTTGCCACCAGCTCATGAAGTACAGCTCACACAAGTACCAGGACTTGGATAACTCTGAACATGTGTGCCCCTTTACAGATGAGTCATGTTTACAAATAATAAATGCATTTACACCAAAATCAGAAATAGGATCTCCTGTATTTCACTACCCACATCAGGGTTCTACTTTTCCTTTTGTATTAAAAAAAAATCCCCTGATTAAATCATCTGCCATGCAGCAGAAATCTCTGTGCAACAAACAAAGTACTATTTCCACTAGTACGTAACTGTTAGCTTCAGCTGTGAGTAAAGCATTTCCCTTTCCAAGCTTTAAACACATGGCAAGTCCCCATGCTGTATTTATCAAGTTTTCACATGTTTCTCTCCCTCCAGAATTAGCAAGGTAGATCTTCTGGAATTCTTACTGCATTACTAATATGAAAGCACTTGCAGGTAAGAAACTACAAGATAGGTTACAAATATCTTGTTTTGCCCATAGTGCTGTAACATAGAAGTTTAGACACCCATTTTCTTCCCAAAACACCCAGCTGTATCCAGATTTCAGCATTAGACCATCCTTAGCTCACCTCTCCCATCGATCTAGAGCACCTTGCAGACCGTCTTGGGATCATGACTACAAGTAGATAATCATATTTAACTCCAGCTCAGTTCAGCAGCATTACAGGAGCATCAGTAGTGGTGCTTTTGAGGGTTAACATGGTGTCTGAGGGACACTGCTTGGTCTCTGCACTGATGTGGTCTTCGCCAAGTAAATTTTACCTTGACTGGAGCATCTTTATCCAAGCACTTTTCCTCAGTCAGGAGCACTGTAGCACCCTGTGAGGTTTCCAATGAGAGCACTGAGGTCAGACTTCCAACAGGGTATAACACAGAGTCCCAGTCCTGCTGACCGAAGGAAGGAAGCCCATAGTCTGCAGTTGCTTCTGCAAGTGTTCTACAAGCCATCTGCTATTTACATTTTTAACAGGGTTTTATGTTACATAGGTAGAGCAGAATGACAGAAAAGAATCTGTTTCAGCAGGATTTGTTTTTAAAGACATCTATTGATCCTCGTTCCATCATGGTTTAGATGTGCTTCTTCAGCATTAGTGTAAAACCCTCCTACATTCATCATGTAATAAAGATAACCCCTCTGCATCTAAAAGCGTGCAGAACTTTCTAAAGTCTGCCAGACAAAACCCAGTGGATTTTAATGATCTTCTCTTCCAGCAAGAAATGGACAGCTCTTAGAACAGGGACTATGATTCAGGATTCTTGGGTTCTTCGTTTTGCAATCCCATCGCTGCCAACCTACCTTTGACACCTCTGTGCCTCAGCTTGCCTGGTTCATAAATGGGCCCAGCAACACCTGTCACATGGGCTTGAAAGGTTGAGTTAATTGCTGCTCGTAAATCATATTGAGAGCCTTGAAAAAGAGAAATACATATATATGCAAAGTAGTTGTGATGTTGTAATTGAGTTGCATTGCTTTCAGATGCAGTGTTCAAAATTAAACTCTTAGGAGATTCATATTTCTTGTATCACTTTGCTGCCCATTAGCATTAAGGATTACTTCCATAATATTCAAAACCTAGGTACAATATTTGTGCAATTAAAGACAACGCTACTCATCACACTTGCAGGGGAAGATGCTGGCATAGGAACTACTTTCTCTTCATCTCTCAGTGAAGAGGAGTGAGTTTTGCAAGCATTTCAAGGGCTGTAGGGCCCAAATCTATTCACTATTCCTAATCAGCCTTGCAAAGCAACACTGCCACTTTATAAAACACACATCCTACTCAGTTAAACAAATGCTTCTCCTCCACCTTCTTAACCAGCACATTGGGTGGCTGAAGGATTTAAAACGAGGCACCTTCACTTTGTGAAGATCAAAAGCTGCGAAGTTTGGATTAGATAAGAAATTCCCTATTTACACTTTAATGTAAGCCTCAGTTTTCCTCCTGCCCACCAGGCAGACAAGGGAACATCACCAACTTGCAATCCAGAACTCAACAGAACCCAGTGAAGATGTCTTTTACTTGGGCTTTTGGCCTAATTTCACCTCTGAGAGCCAAATTAGATAATTTCTGCGCCTCCTCCACATAGCAGTGAAGTGGCACAAAAAGCAGTAAGATTCATGGAGGTGCCTATAGCAAGATGACTCCATTCCTACACATTTCTCCCACTGCTCCTGTGGGTTGAACACTCCCTGTGCTCCAGGCAGACCCTGTACACAACCACAAGTGGACCTTCGGAGGAGAGAGGACTCGAATCCCTGCTGAGCTGTTTCATCCTGGTAGGGTTTTTAACCACACAACTATGACAAAATCCCAGACGATGAGACCTTTGGAGACTCATCCTTCACCCCTACTCAGGGCACCAACATAAGCTCCATTCCCAGAGCAGCTTACTCACTCTGTCCTACAACTCATGTTAAACAGGCAGGTGAAAGATTAGCCTTTTACTTAACCATTTCAAATGGAATTCTTTCTGGTTCTTACACAGACTGGGTGTGCTTCAACATGAGAAAATAAAGAAGTTACTGTCAAGCTGGAAATGCTTAGTATGCTCCATAAAATGAACCTGATGTCTTGGTGATAGTATGGCAACTTGACTTCAGTGCTAAATTTCAGCTGAACAGAAAAAGGCAAGCAAAGGCATCTTAACATTTTAGTAGCCACCTACTACTATAGGAACAAATCAATCTACAAGAAGAGCTTATGATTTATTTCTTGCTTGAAATCAAGGGAAGCATCAAGTATGCTGGATTGCCCAAATTCTGAACTGAATCTGAATCAACCATATTGTAACAAGAAGGGGCCTAGACACTGAACAGAGCCATCTATGCACTAGAGAATGTAAATAGGGACAGGTAACATAAATAACACATGACTGCAGGATCCGGCCCTCATTTGGGGGCAGAATGCTGAAACTGTAATTGCTCTTGCAATGAATAGCTGATGAATGAAAACAATTAGTCATTTTATTTAAGCTGCTGTTCGTTTTGCCAACACAAGTTTACAAAAGTCATTAGTCAGACTGCACACGGAAAGGAGGAAGAAGTTAAGAAATTTCAGTTCTAAAAATCATTAGATTGAAAAAAGGCCCCCAGACTGATACAGATGCTCAGGCTTTCTCTTGCTTTCTGGTGGGTCCTTTTTTCCAAGCTTTTACTTGGAGTGATGAAAACTAGAGGTTTTAGCATGTTTTCTTTAGAAGACAGCAAGCAAACCAAGCCTTGGGACTGTAAGAGAGGACTTTATAGGTTGTCACAAGACTTGGGATAAGATTTGGAGCATAGGAGCAGTGCAGGACTGGGCACAGGCCATCAAGGAGTGAGGCACTGTGCCTGCTGAGGCATGGCCTCCCTCCTGTGGGCCACACTGAAATTCAACAGCAGGTTGAGCATGGAAGGAGGCCAACACAAGCACCACGGGGTAGGATGGAGGGCACGGCTGTCCCTGAGCCTCCTCCTCTGACTGCCCTGTGGGGACAGGTGGCTCCTCAGCAAGTCCACCCAGAGTCCTGCCAGTCCCACATGTCAGCCACCCCCACTGCATCAAGACCAGCAAGAAACACCTCGCCTCTCTGCATTTAACCTTCTCGGGTTTGAAGGTTTGGAGAACCAGGGTGTCCAGCCCTGTCAAGAGTCTCCTAATCCATTAGGACACAAACACTGGCTGCAAAGAGCAAACAGTCATTTTATGCCCAAACTCAGTGCATGAGGAGATGCGAGACAGTGGGTCAGCAGAGCAGGAGTGCATGGGAACAGTGCCCTGCCTCAGAGCCAGCATGGGTCTTGGCATACCCACTGACTCCCCATTGCCGAGAGGCTTTCAGCATCAGCAATGAGAATCAGGTGGAAACTTTGTGCTTTCCAATACCTTAAAACAAAAGGCAGCTTGTAAGACTTTTCCCCTTTCCTGGGGACTTGAAGTAGTGGTTCCAGCTTTGCCTCGCAGCTATTCACAGCATCAAAAGCATGCTCATGAGATCGTACCAAGCCACGGCAATACAGCTGAAGAGGAGCACGTGTTTCTTTTTACTATAACTTCTAAAAGAAGCCATAAATGCACCAACCCAGACATAGTGAAATGCTGAATTGCCATTGATAGAAAGATGGGAAACAAAGTGCATTCTACCAGCATGCACTTCAAATCAAGCAGATTCTAGTGGAGGTTGAGTTCTATGATGCTATTAGTTAATGATTCTGTGAAAGGGACCACAAACCAAATATCTGGATACAGGCACACATTTGTTTAACCACGAGGAAGGAAAAGTTCTATCAAAGTATACAAAGGCAAGATAATCTTCATGTAGTATCTAGATGGTCAACTTTGTACGTGATCTATCATCTGTATTTCCCTGGATGATCCCATCTCCACTCTTTTCACCTCTGTATTTAGTATTTGCGAGTCACGGTGCTCATTTTCCTAAAGAATATAGTATCTTGCTGCAAAATACACCATCAAGACTGAACAGTTACTGGATCCCCAGCAAGACCCGCACAGAACACAGCAGTCTTCTCACTCCTCTTCACCAAGGACACAGCACACCAACAGGGAAGTCACACAGTGGTTACAGCTCCTGCTAGTATCTTCTCTTTGGCTAAGTGGGATGTAAATGCCCTCACAACCCAGCTTTATTTTCATTTATTCTTTTAAGCAAAAGTTAGTTAGGCACAGACTAATAGAGTGGAAAGTTTAATATGTTTAATGGTCATAAATATAAGTGTTTGACAGAGTCTGAACAAGACTAATAGGTAAAGGCAACAAATGTTCCTTTGCTTCAGCTATACTATCTTTGCCATCACAAAAAACACCTGCTGTAAAGATGCTTCAGATTGTTCTATCTGCTTTCTAAATGATACGTGCTGCTCAAGGAAGTCACTCTATATCTTATTCCTCTGACTGAATTTCCATATGCCATATGCTTAGAAGCAGAAAGGAGCCTTTCTGCAGTCCTGCTGCTTGAGTGAATCCCCGTGAACCTCTTGTCTGCTTGGATCTCCAGGAAGTAGCATTGAATCTCCTCAGTAGTGTTTTAATTGGCACTGGGAGAACATGCTGTCATCACCCCCCTTCATTCTCTAATGTATCGTTCCAAAATCATAATGCTACTTCTCTAATGACTTTAATTGGCAACCCAAAAATGAAGTGTAATTGCAGTGTTCACTATTAGCCTGTAAGACAGAGGACCAGATCATTTGGAGGACAAAAAAACTCAGGCCATTAGGTCCTGCTCACAGTCAAACATGAGTCTCCAAAGGAAATGTGTGGTTGTCCATAAAATATTGCTGGCATCTTTGGGAGCAGTTTTGCTTTAGGCCAATATTGAACCAATACTCCAGCATGACAGAGGTACAGTAACTCTGGATATGCCATATTCCCATACGAGATGCTGAACAAATGTCTTTACCACATGTGGTCATTAAAGATTTGATGTCAAGATGAAAGGTGTTAACCTTGGAAACCTGGCCAGATTCCAGCATGGGTAATTACATTCTGCCTCCCTAAGCAGTTCTCTGTAGAGTTTCAGCTGGACATTTCAGATCTGAAACCGTTATGTAGCCCTGCTGTGAGTGGCTTAAGAAAAGGACTTTTTGATCACTGTGACAACTCACTGATACTGTGCATCAACAGCTCGTATTATGAGTTGCAAACCTTAGAGCAGTAACAAATCATGCCATGCAAAAACTACTCCAGTGACTGAGCATTGCTGCAGCCCTTTTACACGTGAGCAGCTCTAGGAATGCAGAGAAACCTACTGTGCAGATAACCACTGTGGGCTGGACCTTTTGAAAACGAAAGATGTGTGCCTGCCTTAGAAGAAACTCACAGGCTAGGGTTGCTGTTATACTGGCATTAGCTGTTAGTTTGCACTGTGCCACTATTTCTCATAGAAGCAATCCTGCTTGGATCCAAGAGTTATGGGGAAATTTTGCAGCCTTTTAACACCATTATCAAGTGCAAACATGGCATGTGTAGCCTGGCCACTGGATGCTACCAACACACTGAGCACTGCATCACTGAGACCTGCATGGCAAGGAGAGCATTTACAATGCTAGACACTCTTCTCAAGGAAGGTTCCCCAGAGGCAGTATCTACATTGCTGGGCAGATGCTCCCTGCAATCCTTGTCCCAAGGTACACACCCTTGCCCCACACTGTCTGTTCCAGGAGATCTGTATGCACAGCCATCACCCACGTGCACTAGTTTTCTTTGTGAGGAAGCCAGGGCGTGCCTGGGGATGGGAGCAGAGCTGAATGCCAAGAGGTCCATAGCTGGTCCAGGGACTGGGGCAGTGGAGAGTAAAAAACTGCAGCCTGATTTCAGAGGGCAGGCAGAAAGAAGCCCGAAGAATATTTGCACAAGTTTCCCAAGTGATAACAAGATTGTAGATATAACCATCCTCATAAAACAGAATCCTACTTTAGCTGAAGCAGACAATTCCTACAAGTTCCATACTGAGCAACACTGGCTCCATGCAAAACCCCAATGCAGAGATTCACTGAGGCTGTAACACAACTGATTTAAATGCAGGAGACTTCAAGGAGTGTGAACTCACACACAGCACAGGAGATTGCTGTAAAATATGTTGACCATCTTATGAATATAAGATTAGAAATAAATCCTTATTTATGTAAAAACTCCTGAGCCTACCTGATCTTGTATTGATTACCATGCTATCTTAGATTTCAGAAGAGCTTTAATAACACTATGCAGTAACCAGAGGCAGTGATGATCTCCTTTCAATGTTAAGTTTCTGACACCACGAAGAACAACGTGGATCATTTGCAGGAATTTTCCCAGTGCTCAACATGCAACTTATCAAATCCCCTTCAAGCATTCATCACACCCATGCAAATAATTTATTCTTCCCCACAGACACTTTGTGTTTGATCACAATGACAACTTAGTGCAGCGACTCTGTATCAAATACATTATGGAGCTTCAAACCTCAGAGCAGCAGCTAAATCACATTGAGGAGACAATCCATTCCTGCAGCCCCTGCACACACAGTTACACCTCATGAACACAGTAAGATTCAGTTATGTCAGCACGGACTGCAAAACCAAGACCATGCTGTTGAAAAACAATCTGTTAATCCTGGAAAGGATTAGCACACTGGATGATAAGCAAATGCTCAAGATTATTGTTACAAGAAAGGCACTTTGATTATAAACTACTTTTTTATCATTGACAAGTCGCCTGTCCTGCAAAGACACATGCACTAATTTGTCTATGAAACCCCTGGGAAGCCACAAACAGGTTCCAGGATCTGCTGATCAGTGTAAGCAGTCTGTCAGAATAGCTTCGGCAAATAAAAGAAATGCAAAGTACTGAAACATACCTAGAGGACAGAGTCTCCTGGCTGAGCAGGATTGCAGGCTGGCACCCAAAGAGCCCGTAATTTGGGATGGAACGGCTTCTACAAATCAATCAGTACAGAAAGCAAGCATCGCACAAGCTCTGCATTTACCAGGCACTGTTTGACAGCAAGAAACAAGCTATAGCATAGAAAATTTCTATGTATTTTAAGCCTCCATCCTGAACTGACTCCTCATACAATTCATCTGCAGGCTGTAATTTACTAAATCCATCTGTTGTTCCTGCAGCCTGCTTTCTGGAAATGCTGCATTTCAAGGGTCTGCTTGTTAGAGAAGGTCAAAGAGTAAAGCAGGCCCTTTCATTTTAAGTGACTTGAAAGAAAAGGAAAGGAAATTTATATTTAGAAATAGCAATGATTAACTAGGGGAAATATATTAGAGTATTAAAATAAATGACATAGAATAGCTCTTACTTCCAATTAGGCTGACTTTACTTCAAGAAAAATATTTATATACAAATATAAAAAGCTGAGGAATGCCAACCTATACTGAGATGAAAGCATCTCATAACATAATTCATGTTTAGCCATTAAAATGGTTGATCATATTTTTATGTACTTTTTCTTCTTGCCCTTCTCAAGTCTCTGCTTCTGTGCTTTCTTCTCTAGTCACTAAGACTTCTAGCAACTTCTGTCTGTTACCAAGCTGCCTCTTGCAACCATACACCTTCCACATCTTTACAGCCTTCAGAAACACCTCATCTGCTGCTACTGCATCATTCCTGGACCCATACACATCACAAGCAGACAACTAACAGACTGGCCACAGAATTAAGGACACAAATTCCCATACACATCAGTCCATAACTAAGGGTCTCAAGAGCTGAAGTGTGGACCAAAATCCACCAACTGCAGATTGTATTCAAGGCTTCTGTTATAGCCCACTAGTTAGGCAGGATAAGGAACACCAAAGTCACTTCAGAAAAACAGAAGCAAGTTGTGGGTAACCCGAGTATATCTTTATGATGAGCAGAGCGCTGGTGGTAGAGTTCAGAGCCACACAAGTCAATCCAGAACCCCAGAGGTGTGCCTACAGTCCCTATGGTCATCCACAAGATTGCTTTAAATGAGCAAGCTCACATACCACTAGTGCTGTAGCCATCATCAGGAAAGAAAGAAGGAAGGAGCCCTCTGCCCCCTGCTTAAATACCCAGGTGTCAGCTTCCAACTAACCAGTCAAAGGTGCAGCACACCATACAAAGCAGTTACTGAGGGAAAACACAATTAATACAGCTGGACTTTGACCAGGAGACTGGAATCACCATCTGTACAAGTGCAAAAGTATCCCAGGACTCTTACTGGCACGAGTAGTCATGCTGTCAGTCTAAGAAACACCCCATGTTCAGGTGCGCTAACGTCATGCGAGAACACTGGTTCAGTCCTGACTCAGAAGAATCCATGTCACCTACTGAGTCACCAAAACCATCCCTTGCAGCATGGGTTTCCTTGGAGTCCCCTTTGTAAGATCTACTTAGGCCTGGCCCTATTTTGCCTATATGATTTAACATGGTGGAATGATGCAATGAGCTCCAGAGTTTCTTTTCTTAGGGGCTCTCCCTCCCACCCACTGCAGCCCTACCAAAAGGCCTTTGTCTAAGGAGCAGAATAAGGAGCATAGCAGAGTGTTCGCATTTACTTTATGGAAGAGCTACTCCAACAACTCCTCTCAAGCCTCTGAAGTCAGCTCCAGTACAGTTATTTGGCCTAAGTTCATCTAAACTAAATGGGCTGACTTGGTTCAAATATATTGCACAACCAAATGATAAAATTGGGAAGGGGGGGGGAATGATTAGTGATGACACATGTATTTAACACTGCATGTCTCCTCTTTCCAGATTAGGAGGAGCTGGCAAGCTTCAGTCTGTACACATGCCAACAGCGGATGTCGGCACATATACAACACTTTTCAGAACAACATACTGTTGAAACATGTAGTTCAACTCAAAGGCACCCCTTCTGTTCAGCTAGCCCAAAACAACTATCTGGATTGTCTTGCTTAATATGGTAGGATTTGTAGCACAGCTCTTAATGCTGCTTTAATCTGGTTTCTTTACAGACACTTTTGAAGTGCAGAGAAGTAGGAAGGAGCAACTGTGCTGTACTTTGCACGAGGTCCCCCACATCCACGTGAACCAGGGGAGGTGATGAAACTGCTGACAAGAGGGAAATGGCAAGGAAAAGGGGGTGGCATACCCAATGCAGGAATACGAGCCTCCCTTCAGCCTTTACCTTTCCTCACTTTCCTTTTATTTCCAGTCTGAAGCACAGAGAAGTATGATGCTGACAGGCTCACCCTGGCTTGTTGTCAGTGTGTCTCCAGAAAGCCATCAGTTAGGATGGGAAAGAAGTAACATCTGCAAAACAAATAAAAATGTCTATGAGTGGTAGCTGAAGTGTTCTGCATTCATTAGCAGACAGCTCTGCTGCGCTGAATTCAGATTTGTAAATATGTTCAGTTCCTTCCTCCTTGTCCTGTCAATAATTTTGGTGTGAACACTTATAAATTCAGTGTTGTGGCCCCTCCAGTCCCATGTTCTTTTCTCTGCTTCATTCCCCTCCTCATCTCTTCAATTATTTTTCTTCTTTCTCACAGCAGACAACACTCATAAACTAAAAACTATGCAGAAAAAAAGCCCTAATAAATGCAGAGAAAGACACATTTTGGTGCGGGTCTGGAGCAGTGCTGAGTGTATCAGAAGCGATCAATACGCCCCACATGATATGGATGGCTTTTAGACATTGGAATCATTTTCCTTTGGCTTCTGATCTGGCCCCCCCATCCCACCACTACCCTGACAATTTCCTTTGAGTCTCACTTCCTACCAGCTGTTTGCATTTTTTTCCCCTTTTCTTTCTGCATAGCTTTAGCACTGGGAAGGAGGTGATCAGCCTGCAGAGACTCAGGGAGGGCTTCCTGCCGTGGGACTCAGAGGCATGTTCGTGTAAGGCAGGAGACTGCCAAAGCCTCCAGCTCTGTTCTGCACAAGTTTGATGTGCTAATGTGGGGATCACAGAAAGAGCTGCAGCCAAGGTTGTCATAATAATCCTAAACCCTTTTCACTCTTCACCAGCAGCACCAGTCCCCACGGGTACCTCTCGATGAAGCAGTCTCTCGTGTGGGTCTCTTTCCTTTCATTGCCCTCTTGAGCATCCAGAGAGCAGTTCTCCAGTCAGATGTCCCGGGTCACAACTACACCCAGTTTCAATGTCTGCCCTCACTTCAGCAGTTCACTGCTGCCATCCAGCCCTGTTTCCAGCAGTGATCCTCATTCAGTTCTGTCTAAATCAGGTTTCTTTTAGTGCCTTTTTAACTGTCTTTCAGACAGGGGCTCATTTGGACAGAAATAGGCTGGGGACTGTCTATGTGTGAAGCAACACTGCCCCATCTGATGGAGTACAGTCACCTTCGGTGGGAAATGTGCAAGAAAGGAAGATGCACTTGGAAGCTGGGTCTGGATAATAACCTCTTAACCAGGCTCAGGGTGGCCTGGATAACATGTCTGAGCAGAGCCTGGGCTAAAAGAACAATATTTGGATTTCTCCTGTACTTTGTTCCATGCAGTGTACAAACAGGAATCCCAGGACAAAGTGTACTCCATGTGAATTGTACCAAATGCATGGCAAGGGACTGCTTCTGTTGGCTTGTAAGGATCTGGTTAAAATACAGAGGACACTGCCAGAGGAAAAAGGAACACAGTCTTTTGGTTTGGTAAAAATAAGCGTTTATGGACATGAAAATCAACGTACTTTTCCCTATGATTGATGGAAAAACAGTTGTGGAAGCAATGAGTGATTCTGCAAATCCATCTTCATGGGTCCTTTTAATTTAGAGGCATGACTCATCGGAGCAGGGACTACTTGGATGGTTGTATGACCACAGGATGCAGCCCTGCAAAAGTGTTTTTGTAAACAAATAAACATGCTCCTTCCTGTTCAAAACTCAGATCTTTCAGCATCGGGCAAGCGCCTGAGAACCTGAGAGGGAAAGGAGTAAGAAATATTAAACACGATGCCAGTTGCTTGGTCCAGGTCCAGCAGCAAGAGGTGAATGAAACACATCGAGTGAAAAATAGATGGGTCTTTTAAAGTCCTTTAATAATCTGAAGTGTTGTTTGTATCAGGAACAAAGAAAAGACATGTTAAGTGGAAATTGCCTGCAGAGACAGTCTTACAGCCTGGCAAAATGGAAACAGAGGGGATCTTCTAAACAAAGCAAGACCCAAAATCTGCACTGGGGGATTTGACAACAGCTTGTGCTATGTTGTGCTGTACGTGCAGGGAGTTATCCAAAGATCACAGTCTCCAAAATGGATTTCACACTATGGCTTTTGACATCTGATGAAGTCTTTGGAGAGAGATTATCCTCTTTTCCTGGAGAAAGCAGGATGCTGGCTCCCATCAGCAGGCTGCGGTGCCTTCACTACTTGCCTCCCAAGGGGGAAAAGAGTCCCAACACCTGGAAACATTTCCAGAAAAGCATGTAGACAGTAGAAAACAACCTAAATATTGCAATGTCAGGGAGTCGATTTTCTGCTGGTATCCTAAAAGCTATCTTTTGGCAGCTGCTAGTGAATCCTTTAAGTACGTTTAAATCAATGCAGAGAGTCAAAGAAACACTGAAAATCATGTGAGATTAAGACGGGCAGAGTGAATCAAGTAGGGAAATGGCTGAGCAGCTGCTGGAGCCTTTTTGCTGTCACAGAGCAACAAACCTGGAGGATGCTCCAAACCAACACAAAATCCTGCTTGGGCCCAGGTCCAGGTGAAGGAAGGAAAGGCAGAGTGGGAAGAAGAACGCGAGGTTTTGCCCTTGACTTAGCTGGGTCGAGATGTTTCAATTGCAAACGATAGATCTGTTTTACCTATTAGAGCTTGTCTAGACTAAGGAAATGTTCCTTCTATGACTATGCTGAGGTAATTACACCAGTGTAAACCCCTTTGGGCAAAACAGAGCTTTCAGTGGCCTGATTTACCCTGGTCACTTGCCAGGATTAGTTCAGCTGGTACCAGCCTATCCTCCAGGAGCTCCTGCTCCCAGCTGGAACCCTGCACAGGAGTTTTCTTCCATCCCATCTGAAACATTTGTACTGCCAATCTATCAATCAAACATCCTCTGGGATGATCTGCAAATGTTCTTCTCCAAACGAAGGGTAAATATTTAGAAGGTGCCTCTGTTAGTAGAAATTGATTAATTGGCTACAAAAATAACTCTGGTTTTAAACTAAAGCATACTTTGGTTTGTGTATGCATATCAAGGAAACGTATTTGCTGCAAACACAGTGAATAGGAAGGTAGATGTAGGATATTCAACTTTCCAGGGGCAGATGTGTCCCTTACATTAAATGAACTTGTATGAGAAGATAAAATGTGTCCAAAGAGAGTGAAGTGGGAGATACTCCAAAGTTATTCTATTAAATTAATAAAGAAAATGAGGAACAAAAACCATAAATTAACTAAATCCAAGTGCTTCACTCTGAAGCGCCTTTTAAAGAACAGAAGAGGAAACTTTAACCCAGAAGTCAGTGGCAACATTTACATTGACTTTAAAGGAGAGGCTTCACTCAATATAACGTGTACCGTGAAGCCACATGACACCGCTGTGCATAGCATGGTACAGAAATGCATGTGCTGAGTTTCACACACAGCCCTCAGAGAACAGGCTGATAAATGCAGGATGAGGAACAGAGGGATTGACAGGCAGACTTGGTTATAATTTAATCTGGTTTACTGTTATCTGTGGGTGCTATGGTTAAAATGTTCCAAAAAGTCATAGCACACCTTTAATTCTGAGCCGTTACTGGAAGGCCAGTTAGAAACTCCAACAGTGGAACAAACACGATGCTTTGAAAGTCTCCTTTCCAAAAAGAAAAAAAAGGAGGGGGGAAAAAAGTATGTCTGAAGCACAAAGATGACATCAGAAAAGTGCCTCAATTCACACATGGCTGCACCTCTCCAAAAAAATTAAACCAGGAACCCGGGATTGATTTAATCACCCATACAAGCGAAAAAACGTAATGAAGATACTCGGTGCCAAATTGGTTTCTTGGGACCTTTTCCATGTAAATAATACAAATCAAACCTTGAAGTTCAGTGCAGATATGATCTGACAAGTAAGCCAGGCTCTTGCTTTTACTTTGATCCAGCTCCAGAAATATTTTATCCAAGGTAAAGTTGGTTTTAAGTGTTTTCCATTTCAGTTTTTAATTTTGGATATTCATCATATAGGAAACTTGCTTATAATGCTTAAAACATCAGCCTGGCTGCACCGACTCGCCACGCCACGCAGCAAGATTTCCTTCTCTTTGCTCCTAAGAGGGAGAACATAAAGAGCTCCCAATGCAACAGGGGTTCAGTTTCTGCTCCCTCTCTTGTTTTAATGGTACAGTGAACGTGGACAACCTGAGTGGAGTACTTCCATACACCAAGTCAAGCTGACTCCAGTAGCTCGGCACTGTCCCACTGCTCACAGGTGGGCCGGTGAATAACACTTTTGAACGTAATAAGATAAACAGGCCTTTGTTTTCTGAGTGATGCCCCGAATTCCCCCCATCCTGCAATTCCCTCCGTATGTGTCTGGAAGTAACAGTGTCTTCTCTTGATAGAAAACCTCCACATTAGGCGTATTCCGGGTTTTTTAGTATTTTACTTTTATCCTTATTTGTTAAAAATACTTTAAAAATCTATTTTTACTCCATTCTAAAGCCAGGATGAAGATTCTGCAGTTCAGAAAACTATATATACATATATATATATACACACACACATATATATATATAAAAACCCTGAACCTTGTTCAAGATTCCCACTGTTGTGTGCCTTAAGATGGATTTAGGCACCTTGCTACAGGCATCCACATCGCCACAACTCAGCTCTTGTGAATAATGTAAAATCCTCTGGATTGTCTTGCACAAATTGGTATGTAGTATATTTAGAATTAACAGGGCCCCTTTTCCCCTTTTCACTTGAATATGTGGTGTAAGGTTAATGAAAATAAGATGGATCTTTTATTTTGGGTCTTAAATGTAATATTATTAAATGTGCCCACCAGAAATGTAGGATAAAATATTTGCTCTGCTTGAAGATTATGTGATATTTGTATTCTAAGCCTCACCACAGTGGGTTTCTTTAAATAGAAGCTATACTTTACTCCTAAATTGCTTAAGGCAAAGGAAGCAGAGATGATGTTTTTATGAATGTTTAAATGCAAATGGAACTGAGAGTGAATGCTATGCTAGCTAACATCAAAGGCTCACCAAAGTCTCTGCATTAATGAGGCTCTTTGTTTCCTGGATCACAGATTACAACAGGTTTCCAACTCATTGCCAAGGCTTTATCTCCATTTGGGAGGGCTGTAAATCTCAGACGATTTTTTTCACATGCAAAACAAGAGGATCATCTGAAAGAAGAGAGAGGGGAAAAAATCTTAAAGTAGCAAATATTTCATTCAAATGATTATTACTCAAAGTGGCTGCAGCTTATTTGATTTTTGTGATGTTTAAAAGAATGGAAATTTGCAGACGGAGTTTCCTATGGGGCAGCCCTCACTCATCTGGATGGGAGAGCCGAGCAGGAAAAAAGCAAAGAGCATCTTTTCCCTCTCCCTTCGCACAGCGTAAACCCGGCCCCCAAATCAGACCGAGAATTCTGCGTGATGCAAAATCAGCAATTAGCAGGAAGACGGATTTTGCTTCATTTAAATACATTCAGGACTTTTCAAAGTGGCTCCAACTCGTTCTTCTCCTCCCCAAAAAGTAATGAGATTATATCCCCAGTAATAATACCCTAATTAACAAGAAAAATAGGGACCAAGATTTTTAGCTTCCTATTCAAGGGCTGAATGTGACAATATGGAGTATATTGGGTCATAAAACCCAATTTACATGGCGTCATTACAGTCTGTGCAGCAGTCTCCAGGACCCAGGGCTATCTTATGCAATCTTAATTAAGGAAAATAAATATCGGGGTGTTGTTTTAAGCTACCGGAGACATGCACAGGACCTGTCGTATGTGATCACAAGAGATGGGGAGTTTCCTTTTCCATGGGAACTGCTCGAAAATCCCTCCGACGCCGACATAGAAGTGTCTCGTGTCCTCGGAGCGGGCTGCGAGGAGGGTAATTTGTGTTTCCTGACCCGCGGGGCCACTCAGGAAAACTCATCATTTTCGGCAGTCCAACGTCATGTCTGTGCTGGGAAGGGGCCAGGATGAGGGATGGTGGCATCACCCCGGGCCTGGTGTGAGCTGTGGCCACTCTCTGTGGGCATAGGCACCCACATGTGCTGCGAGCACCCACGGCTGGCAACATACCACCCTTGTGTGCACACATGTGTGTACACATGTATGTGCTGATGTCTCTGCGCACACATGCGTGTCCTGATGTGTGCCTCTGTGCACACACGTGTTGACCTCTGTGCACACCTACATGACCTGATGTGTCTCAATGTGTGCACACACATATGTGTTGGTGTATGTCTATGTGTGCACATGCGTATGTGCTGATGTGTGCCCATGTGTGCACTCTTTAATGTCCCAAAGTGTTCCAGTGTGATACATGCTGATGTGTGCCTGTGTGCACACATAAGTCTCCTGATGTATGCCTGTTTGTGCATGTGTGTTAGTGTGTGTCTTTGCACACATACGTGTCCTGATGTGTCAGTGTACATGCATATATGTTGTTACGTGTCTGTATGCACACATGAGTTGATGTCTGTGTGTGCATGCAGATACATGGTGAGGCATGCAAACATACATGTCCTGATGTGTCTTAGTGTGTGCACACATGTGTGTTGATGTGTGTCTGTGTGTGCACGCATACATGTACTGACATGTACCTGCAGCTCCATGTACAGAACTCTGTCCTCTGTATTTAGTTGTTTTAGTGCTGCCCATCTGGTTATAGATTCATGGGCAAATGTGAGCATGCAGATGTGTTTGTGTGTGCAGATGTGCTGCTGTGTGCAGGTGTGTGCTCATCAGAACAAGGATGCATTCTGGGTTGTATCTGGATTCCACTGGTGTGTGTAGCTAACTGCTCATGTGTGCCAGATGCGTAGCTGTGCGCACTGATCTGTGTGTGCAGATGTGTGTGCAGATGGACACACAGACACCTGTAGAGACTGTGTGGGGCTGCACCAATGCAGATGTGTGCTGATGCATATTACAGACCATGTGCACGGACACGCGTGAAGATGCACACATGCATGCATCTGAGTGTGTGCAAATACATACACAGGTACAGATGTGGGGGATGTGCGCAGATAAGTGTGTGCACAGATGTGGAAGCAGGCTCATGTGTACACGTGTGACCACAGGTGTGTGCAGATGTGTTCGCACAGATGTGTGCGCACACATGTGTGTGCAGGCATGTGCGGGTACACACGTGCGCACAGGTGTGTGAGCTCACTGTGCATACAGGTATGTGCCCACACCCGGGGAGCTGCACAGAGCCCCCATTTCAGGCTACCACGGGGCCCAATCACACACATCCCCCCTCGGATCGGTGCCGGAGGGGGCTCACCCCGTTGGGCCGGGCTGTCGGTCCCTTTAAGCCAAGCACTCCAGGACCGTGTGTTCATGTGTGTGTTCGTTCATGTGTGTGTTCATGTGTGTGTGTGTGTTCATGTGTGTGTGTGTTCATGTGCGTGTGTGCCCGCCCCCGGCCCCTCCCCGCCGCTGCCAATCACCCGGCGGCCGCTTTGATGCCGGCAGCTCTCGCCCGCCGCGCCGCCGCGCTCGCACACAGCCACCGGCCGCTCCGTGCCTCCGGTGCCGCCGGCGCCCGCTGCTCACAGGGCAACTTTCCGGGGCTCGGAGGGGCCGGGGCGGCGGCGGCGGCGGCGTGGGGGGGCGGCGGCACGGAGAAGGGGGGGGACCGGTCCGGTCCAGCCCAGCCCGGCATCCCACGACGCCCGCCCGCAGCCTGCCGAGCCCCCGCGGGCCGCCGGGGAAGGGAGGGAAAGGAAGGAGGGGGGGAAGCTTTAAGAAGGAAAAACAATCATAGTATTATCTTATTTTTTCAAAGAAAGGCTTTGAAAGGGAGTTTGGAAGGGGGGAATTAAAGGGAAAAAAAAGTTTAAAAGTTGGAAAGGAGGAAAAAAAAACTTTATAAAGAAAAATTTGAAGAGAGCGATTTTTTTTTTTATTATTTGAAGATTGTAAAAAAGAGAGATTGAGGGAGCAGGGGGGAAAAAAAAACACCTCATAACTGCGAAGGGCTCGATCGGGCGCCGGAGAACAATACTCGCCGCGAAAGTTGCTGCGCGGCCCGTGAGGGAGCGGCGGGAGGAAAATGCCGCAGCTGGGCAGCGGCGGCGGGGACGACCTGGGGGCCACGGACGAGATGCTGGCCTTCAAGGACGAGGGCGAGCAGGAGGAGAAGATCCCCGAGAACGCCTTCACGGAGCGCGACTTGGCCGACCTCAAGTCCTCGCTGGTGAACGAGTCCGAGGGGACCGGCAGCCCGGCCGCCGCCGCAGCCGCCGACCCTGAGGTAAACCGGGGCCCCCCCTCCCCTCCCTCACGCTCCCGCCCTTCCCGCCCCGCGCCCCTTTGCCCGCCGCCCCGCAATGCCCGTCCTTGTCTCTCCCTGTGCAGGCCGTCAGGAGGGTGCAGGATCCGCAGAGGGCTTACCAGGAGAAGCTGCCTGACCACATGGATGATGGTTAGTCGCAGCGATCCCCCTTCTCTATGTGTGTGTGTGTGTGTGTGTGTGTCCCACATCCGAGTGCTCGCCGTCCCCCCCGTGGGTGAACTCCCCCGGCTCCCCGACCTCACTACCCCGGGGTGAGGGATGCCGGCCTGGCCGCCATGGCCCTCATGGGAATGCTGCGCCTGTCAGCAGTGAGGCCTCCCAATGCACCCCTATGGGACCCCAGCACCCCTCCAAACACCCTTTCCAAAGGATACAGAGCAAAAAGACTCCCCCAAACCTCACTGTAACCTTTATGGTGGGCCCCGACATACAGAGGAATCACCTGTCATAAAGTGAGTTTTGATGGGGAACTTTAATTTGAACAGGTATGAAACATCAGGACCCAGGGATGTATAAAGGATCTGCGTATTCTGGCTACCCCTTCCTCATGCTCTCAGATCCGTATCTGCCGAATGGATCCATGTCACCGCTGGTGAGTTCATCCTCTCCTTATGGAGAAGTTTCGTGGCCTCTCTCACCCTGCTGCAGTGTGTTGCAGGTATCGTGCAGGCTGTTTTGCCAGACACATTGCAGCCTGGTTCCTAAAATGCCTGAGCTCTGCTCTGTCTAAATGGGAGAAAGAATGGGAAGGGGGAGAGATGCTTGGCAGCAAGCGCCTGCCTCACTCTGAACTTGCTGGAGGAGCTTCTTTTCCATCCTCTAGGTTTGCCTTTACAATCAAACCAAAAACTGATGTAAGAATGCCCCTTCCTTTTTCTGGGTCACTGACTTTGGAGGAGAACAGCTTCTGGTGTTTGTGTTCAGGGATATGTCCCGCAGCTCGACTTCAGTTTGATGTATCTGCTTGTGAGATGGCCAGGGTTTGGCCTGCTTTAGTTAGGGCTCTGTTGTGGATGATGGTCCAGAGAGTGGATCTTGTGCTTCTAAAATGGCAATAGAGGTATTTAGGAAAAGGCTTTGTGCTGCTGGAGGACTGTTCCTGTCTTCTTTCTATGAAGTTTTTTCCCTCTTGGGTCAAATCAGCTTTAGTAACTCCCTATATTCTCATGCTGATAAGTTTTGCTGTCTGAATAGTTGAATTAAAGGCTTCTCTGCAAAAACTGTCTTTTCCCATCGCCATCTCTATCAGAACTCCAGAAAATCATGTCACAACGTTGCCGCAGTCAGTTGGTGCTCGTGTTGCTCCTGAGGAGCCGTCATTGCTGCATTCATTTCAGACACGATTCTGTTTGCAGTCAGTAAATGAGAACAGAACATCAGTTGGTTTATTTCGGGTTTAGTTTTTCACTTTTAAAGGGATAAGGTTGGAAAAAAATACATAACATTGTGCTTAACTTCAGTCATTTGTTGGCTGGAGGGGTAGGATGTTAAACTGGTGCTATGAAAAAGGCATGGATTGTGGTGTGTGCAACTCAAGAGTGAGATGAAATATTGTTTGTGGGAATCGCTGCTGTGCCCTGCAGGCTGACACTGCTGGCCTGGGTCGCAGGAGATGGGTCCTTCCATGAGCCTGCCCCAACCTCAGCACAGCCTTTCTTGGGGGCACAGATTCCCCTGCCTGCAGACTGCTGGAACTTCGCTGAGGTCAGTTTTGAGGATCTGTCCCTAAATTTTGGAGTCTTCCTTTGCTTTGCAGCAAGGAAAGATGCGTATGCAAGACAGGGCCAGGGTACATTGTTGTAATCCCAATAAGCATTTCTCCTGTTGCTTCCCACCTTTGTGTCCCTTCATTCAGGTACCAGGTATCCCCCTCACCCTCCTAAAATATTAAGATGCTCTCTTCCTGGTAAATGTTTAAGTCTATTGAATTTGTCTTGTTTAAACGTATTTAGTTTGCTCCCTAGTATAGAATCTGGGTAAGTTCAGAGTTACATTAGCACAGCAACTCTTTCTTGTAGTGGAATATTTCTTTTAATCTTAAACCTTTACTAGATGGGCCACGAAGTGCAATAGTCTATTTATTAGCAATTAGGGTTAAAAGAAGATTGTGGCTTGTGAATCGCTTTTCCTCTTGATAATGTAATAAAAACCCAAGTAGTTCCTGTCTGAGCACGAGTAAATAGATGGTGCAGAACTCAAAGGGGGTAAATGAAGTAGCAGAGAGGGAATGATTCCATCCCCTTGGGAGCCATGGGAATCATGTCCTGTCCCAGTCAGCTTCATTGAGGCCCATTCTGATCCTGTAGTGGTTTGTTGCGTGCCTTAAGAAACTGATTTGATTTAGCAGATTTTTAACTCGCAACCTAACAGACATGGGAAGATTCTTCCTCAGATAAAGGCTGGTCTTGTGGTTTTTTTTACTTGGTATAATAGCTATTCCAGTATTGGAATAGCTGGGCAATTTTGTCCTGTATTTATATTGACTATGCAAGGGTTATCATAGTAAATTGTGTATTGCTTTCATATAGATTTATTGCTACTGTGTATATTGGATGAATTGTGGGCTATAATCTGGTGGCTGTTTCCAGTAACTGAGGAGGTCAGATCTGTGACCGAAGATTGCAGATACTTCACCATCCATAGAAGTGTATTTAATTAACACTTTAGCAAAAGCAGAGTCGGAGAGGAGGGTTGTGTGTTGTGTGAGTGAATGGCATTATGTACCACACTCATGGGTGTGCTTGATAGTGGAGATTGTATGTTGGTTAATGATGCTTCCTGGAAACGGCTGTTTGCAGCCAGGATGAAGTTCAGAACCTTCCAAAACTAAAAATTAAATGAATTAACCCAGGGGTACTTTGGCAAACTGCCAGGGCTTTACATTTACCTGATTGAAAAACAGAATACATGGCTGTAGATGAAGGGCAGCCAGCGCCGGGCTGCAGGCTGAACCCCACTCTGCGACTCACTGTAAAACCACAGTTCTGCTCTGTGGGCTCCCTCCAGAACACAGCTGGGCGCTGTGAGTGGTGCTGGAGCCAGCCTGGGTGGGTGTGTTGCTGCCAGTGTTACCAGTGTGCTGCTTTCCTCTTTTTCCTTCTTACTTTCTCAGCAGCATCACTTTTGTTTTGTTTCCCTGAGGTGGTTATGGCCTGCTAACTGTTCCTCTGCTCACCCCAGCATCCTGCTGGGCTCCCCACATCTCACCAGCCCAAATTGCCTCTTTTTACCAAAACACACTCACTTGTATTATTTACGTGCTGTGAGATACCCCCCTGCAGTCCTGTGTCCGGCTCTGAGGCCCCCAATACAAGAGGGACATGGAGCTGTTGGAGCGAGTCCAGAGGAGGCCACGGAGATGCTGCGAGGGCTGGAGCAGCTCTGCTCTGGAGCCAGGCTGAGAGAGCTGGGCTGGTTCAGCTGGAGAAGAGAAGGCTCCTGAAGGGGAGACCTTAGAGCAGCTCCAGTGCCTAAAGGGGCTGCAGGAAACCTGGAGAGGGGCTTGGGACAAAGGCCTATAGGGACAGGCCAAGGGGAATGGCTTGAACCTGCCCGAGGGGAGACTGAGCTGAGCTCTTAGGCAGAAGCTCTTCCCTGTGAGGGTGCTGAGGCGCTGGCACAGGGTGCCCAGAGAAACTGTGGCTGCCCCATCCCTGGCAGCGTTCAAGGCCAGGTTGGACACAGGGGCTTGGAGCAGCCTGCTCTAGTAGAAGGTGTCCCTTCCCGTGGCAGGGGGCTGGAGTCAGATGAGTTTTAAGGTTCCAGCCTGTGATTCCATGATCTTGCTCTGAAGTGATGCACTGGACATGTCTGGGTACCTAACAGCAGCAGCAAGGCCAAGCCCAGTTGATGTCTCCAGCGAGCAGCAGGATGTGGCAGGAGCCACCCTGCAGTGGGCAGATCCTGGGCATTGGGCTCAGTGGCCACCTTTGCTCCAGGTGGCAAACATGAATTTAGGGTAATTCAGCTGTAGTGATGCTGTTTGAGCATGCACAAGTGGCCCAGCCTGGCAGTGAAGCTATCAGAATGGGAAGGGAGGGCTGGGAGTGAAGAAGGAGCCTGTGCATGCATCTGAAACCTCAGAACCTTGCAAGGCACTGGGAGAACCGTTTCTTACCCGTCGCTTCAGTCTCGCGTATGTGGTTGGTTGTGGCTCTGCTTTGGCTCTCCTGACTTGCAAAGTCCAGCTTTTCCTCAAGTGGAATATGTAGGATTTACCAGTTAAAAATCTGCAAGAAACTTACAAAGAATACTGACAAGCTGAGGAACTGTTTTTCTAACTGAAATAAAAAATCATAAAACTATATCCTTTTTTTAAATAGTACAAATGACTTTAAATCAAATTAAGGTACATCCTTAGTGAGAACATCAGCCTTTTAGGTGGTTACAAACATTAGAGGTCAGACATGGTCAAACATGTTAACACTTTGATCAGATTAAAATATTTTTCTTGCTACAGTTATATAATTGAGTTTAGACCCGAGGGGTTTTTCTGAACATTGTTATATCTTGTACCATGTGGTAGTTAAATGGTAGAAGGAGCACTTACAAGTTCCTTTAAGTTCCTTCTGTAAATAGGTTTATAAAAGAGGCGAATGAGCCGTGCTGCCCCGTATGTAGGGCACAAGCTCTCTCCGCTCCAGTCGATGGCAGAGCTCCCGGGGGAGCTCTTCACACCTTCTGTGCACCTCTGTTGTGTGAGGTGTGTGCAGGCAGAATTCAGAGGTTCTATATATAAAGTTGAGGCACTGGACTTACTGTCTGTGTGAGAAAAGAGATCCAAGAGCTTCAGTTTCTTTGGAAAACAGACACTACCTCATTTTCTTAATTATGAAGTTGTCTAACCAGAGCTGATGCAGGAGCAGAAGGGTGGTGGTACCTTCCCAGGCTCTCCACATCTCAAGTCCCCAAATGAGGCTGCAGGTTCCAGTGTTCAGAGCCTGGTCCCTGTGGTCCAGTGAGCTCCGTGAGCTTGGTTCCTGCTCAGAGGGTTTGAAATGTCCCCTTGGGCAGCACAAGATGAAAGTGCAGTTACTGCTGGCCTGGGGCCACAGATCCCACATGTCTGAAGTGAGGTCAAAGCATGGAGCTGAAATCCTCCTGCTGCCCTTCACTGGACAGAAGCAGCTGAGCTCTGGGACGTGGTGCTGCTCCATCCCTTTGCAGGAGGAGGCTGTTGCCCCCGCAGCAGTTGGTGGAAGGAAATCTGCAGCTCAGCTGCTTCTGAGCGGAGGTCTTTCTTTCTGTCCCAGCTTGCACTGTCAGGGCAATGTTTAGTGGTGCTTTTTCTTGTGCTGAGTTCGGATCCTGTTGAAACCAGTGGGAAAACTCCCTGGAGCCGCCATGTGATAGGGATTTGTTGCTGTGCATGAGAGGGCTGCTGCATCCCTCTCCAGATGTGGTGCATGGAGGGAGGGCAGCTGCAAGCCACCGGTAGGTCTGTGCATTCCCAGCAGTGCCTACAGCATCCCAGCCAGGTTCGCTGGCATGGGGCTTGTGCTATGGGACCTCACTGGGACAGTGCTCTCTCCCCATAGATTATTATATTCCCAGCAGAAAACGTTTGAAGTGTGGTGCCTGCTGATGGATGGA